ACCCCCCCCCCCCCCCCCCACGTACCTTCAGAGTCTCCTTGGCTGGGGCAGGAGGTGGCACACTCACTGCCCCCGTGGGCCATTTCCTCACGTCCTGGCCGTAGCCGGGGGGCACCAGCACCTGCAGGACACAGACACTCAGCGAGGAGGGAGCCAAGACCTGGGCTGAGATGTGGTGGGCATGGGGGGGCTGGGCTCCGCCCCAGCTGGCTTGCCCCCCCCCCACTCGGCAGCACAGCCCAGTGTCTCAGGTCACCCCAGAAGCCTCCCCTTTTCCCCCACGCCCTTACCTGTCCGTCGATGTAGGCAACCTCCCCACGTAGGATCACTCTCCGCACCATCCCCTTCACCTTCGTGCCCTCGAACGGTGTCCACTGGCACTTGCTGAAGGCCATGTGGCTGGGGACGATCCACTCGTGCTCCAGGTCCACCTGGCCGGGGGGGGCAGAGCCGGGTCAGGCTGGGGTGGGGGGCAGGCCCAGGGACAATGGGTGGCACATCAGGGTTGGGTCTGGGCTCTGGCTGGGAGCTTGTCGGGGTGGGGCTAGGCCCAGGGAGGGCAGCACATTGGGGGCAGGCCCAGGAGGGCGGGTGGTGGGGCAGGGCCCGAGAGGGCAGCAGGGTGGGGCTCCAGCACTCACGTCTGGCAACTGTTCAGGGTGGGGCTGGGCCCACAGAGGGTGGGCAGCACATTGGGGACAGGCCTAGGAGGGCGGGTGGGTGGGGTAGGGGGGCAGTGGCGCCGGACCAGGCCCAGGCTCTGGCTGGGCGCTCATGTCTGGCAGCTGTTCAGCAGGGCACAGCCATTTGCTCCTCAGCTCCCCCGGAGTCCCCAGGGCTCAGCGATGCCAGCCGTCCAGCCCAGCGCCGTTCCCATGGGGCACAACCCCCCCACTGAGCACAGCCCCCCCACCTCAATGTAGGTGTCGTCCTGCGCGGGCAGGGAGAAGATCTTGCGGGGGTTCTCGTAGAGGCGCTTGACCACATCCTCGATGGCGAGGCGCCCCTCGGAGACGGCTGTCAGCAGCAGGGGCAGCATGGTCTCCAGGCCGGGGTAACCTGGGGGTGGCTCCTTCCCTTCCTTCTCCTCCACCGTGTGGGGGGCTACGGGCACAAAGGAGGTGTTCAGGGGGTCCAGTGCCACCTCCTCATTCTGCTGCCCCCCTCGCTGATGAGGTTCAACCAGGACAAGTGCAGAGTCCTGCACTTAGGACGGAAGAATCCCATGCACTGATACAACCTAGGGACCGAGTGGCTAGGCAGCAGTTCTGCAGAAAAGGACCTAGGGGTTACAGTGGACGAGAAGCTGGATATGAGTCAACAGTGTGCTCTTGTTGCCAAGAAGGCTAACGGCATTTTGGGCTGTATAAGTAGGGGCATTGCCAGCAGATCGAGGAACGTGATCATTCCCCTTTATTCGACATTGGTGAGGCCTCATCTGGAATACTGTGTCCAGTTTTGGGCCCCACACTACAGAAAGGATGTGGAAAAATTGGAAAGAGTCCAGCGGAGGGCAACAAAAATGATTAGGGGTCTGGAGCACATAGCTTATGAGGAGAGGCTGAGGGAACTGGGATTGTTTAGTCTGCAGAAGAGAAGAGTGAGGGGGGATTTGATAGCAGCCTTCAACTACCTGAAGGGGGGTTCCAAAGAGGATGGAGCTCGGCTGTTCTCAGTGGTGGCAGATGACAGAACAAGGAGCAATGGTCTCAAGTTGCAGTGGGGGAGGTCTAGGTTGGATATTAGGAAACACTATTTCACTTAGGAGGGTGGTGAAGCAATGGAATGGGTTACCTAGGGAGGAATCTCCTTCCTTAGAGGTTTTTAAGGCCCGGCTTGACAAAGCCCTGGCTGGGATGATTTAGTTGGGGATTGGTCCTGCTTTGAGCAGGGGGTTGGACTAGATGACCTCCTGAGGTCCCTTCCAACCCTGATATTCTAGGATTCTACGAGTGACCCCCCTGCAGGGCCAGCTCCCCCAGTGCCCAGCAGGGAGCTGCCCTGGGGTGAGAGGCCAGCCAGGCCTCTGCCCAGACATCCACCAGCATCAGCTGGGAGGGACCAACGGACTCACTTGGTACTGGCCCAAGGTGCCAGATCCCATTACCCACCTCTCAAGCGGGGACAGGCCCCATGTCCCATTCCTCGCCCCCCCCCCCCGAGCCAGCCAGTCCCTGCCCTGGGGCCAGATGGGAGATGACTCCCCCTAGAGGGAACAGGCCCCATGTCCCAATCCCTGTGTGACGTTATGAGTGGAATATAATATCTCATTGAAAGGTGACCGTGAGTTAATTAACTCTTTCTGGCACTGACTGACCTGACCCATGGCCGAACTTTAAAGACTGGTTAGGAAGATATGTAAATGAACAGAGCTTTTGCATTGTTAGAGGTAGAAGGGGAGCTGTTTGCTCAGGGCTTGTGATGTAAGCAAACAAGTCTTGTCTATTCTATAGCTTTCATTCAAAGATCAAAGAAGGAATATTAACATGTAGGAAGACACTTGAGTGAAATAGTATTATTGTCTCTATGTCTCTTTGAAGGTCGTGATAACCTGTATCTGAACTGTTTAATGGATAAATTACCCTGTGCTAATTGCCAGGATGTTTGGGAGAAGGAGAGTTAAGCCTAATGTTTTCTCAGGCCAAAAGGCTGCTGGAAATGTATAAGAACCCTGGGACATGATCCTGCTTCATCTCAGATCTGCTTTGGGTTTCAAGAGGGGGAAACCTTAAGCCACAAGGACTGAGATCCCCAGTCACTGACTGGAGCCACCCTGAATATGGACATTGGACTATAACCTCTGGACTATTTCTAAAAGGACTTTTGGCAACTACAAGCTCATCTCTGCTATGTATCTGAACCTCAAGAATTGAATTCAAGTCTGTCTGTAGATTGATCTTTTAACCAACTCTCTCTCTTTTCTTTTTAATAAATTTTAGCTTAGTTAATAAGAATTGGCTGTAGCGTGTATTTTGGGTAAGATCTAAGTGTAATTGGACCTGGGTATGTGGCTGACCCTTTGGGATTGGAAGAACCTTTTCTTTTATAGGATGAGAGAAGATTCTCAGTAATATCATCATATCTGACAGGTGTGTCTGGACGGAGGCCTGAGGCTGGGCACTTTAAGGGAACTGCGTTGTTTGAACTTCTGAGTAACCAGTGAGGTTTTGTGCTGGTTGGTAAATCTAGGTATTGGAATATCCACCAGCGTTTGGGGTTTGTCTGCCCCGTTCTGTTTGCAGTTCACCCGAATTGAGTGACCTCAGCTGGCTCCCACGGGCAGCACCGTCACACCCTGCCCCAACCCATCCCCGTCCTGGGGCCAGAAGGGGGCCGGCACCCCCTAGAGGGGACAGACCCTGGATCCCAGGTCCAGGACACTCCAGCGGGTGCCCCGGTGCCCTAGAACGGTCCCCCTCACCGTGGTCTGTGGCAAAGCAGTCGATGGTGTCCATGTTCTCCCACAGCGCCTCCAGGTCCTCACGGGTGCCCAGCATGGGCTGCACCTGTGCGCGCCCCTCCCTGATGCGTCCAATGTCGTCCTCGCACAGGAAGAGGTGGTGCGGCGCCACCTCACACGTCACCTGGATGCCCTTCTGCTTGGCAGCCTTGATGATCAGGATCTGCAGGCCCAGGCTGAGGGTGAGACACCGTCCCCCATCCCAGATCCCCCTCCCCCACCCTCCCTGCACACACTCCCTGTGACCAAGTTGGGGATTTTCTTAGTGTTTTGCATGAACTCTGCGTCCCTCAGTTTCCCTGGGTGCTGCGTGTGTAACAAGGGGGAGGGAGTGGGGTGCAGATGACCAGGCGTGACCTCGCCTAGCAGCCGGGGCTCAGTGACTGGTGCCCCAGCCCAGCTTGGGAGCCAGCCGGTTCACAATGGGATGAGGCGAGAGGGGCCGGGGGACCTGCCCAGCCCGTTCCAGCCAGTGGGGGAACAAAGGAGGCTCAGGTGGCCTGTTTACCTGGGACAGGGGACAAAGGACAGGGGAGGAGCAGTTGGGGGAGGGGCCCCCTGGATGTTCTGTGCAGAGACTGGCCAGGCCCGAGGCCCCGGAGAACTGCCTGGGCTGGGCTCGTGTGTGACGCTGGATGAGAGCCACTGCAGGCGTGGGGGGAGGAGGCATTGCTCCCTCGGGATGGAGGCCCTGGGGGCCCAGAGCGAGAGGGCTCCCTGAGGGGGCCATGGCAGAGCCAGGCATGCTGGGAGCTCAGAGGTACAGTCCCAGGAGGCGCAGGGCCAGGGGGCCTTCCCGAAAGGCCGTCACGCTGCGGGGGGTTACTCCCGGGGCCCCATGGAGCCAAGAAAAGGCACAAGTCCTGTGAGTCCGTGACACCCCCCCCACCCCACAGGGCCCAGGCCGAGGGGAGACACCGCCCCCCATGCCCCATCTGCGCTGCAGCCCTCGCTACGCCAGGCGGGCTGCATTTCGCTCAGTGTTTGTCAGCCAGCGCCTCCGGCCAGCGTTTGCCGTTCTCACATTAACACACACCGAAGGTTTCCGGGGGTCCCAGCGGGGCCCAGCGTCTCTGCAGTGAGCTGGGAGTCACTAGATAACCCGCCCAGCCAGCACCAAGAGCTCTTTGGGGCTTTCCCCAGGCCTGGCTCGGTTTAACTCCGACACAAGGGGTGTAAATACACACACACACCCCCCATGGGGCAGAGAAACATTCCCCCCCCCCCCCCCGGCACACTGTCGAGTCGCTGCAGCCACTGGGGGGCAGATTGCGGAGCCGGTGGGGGGCGCTGGCCCAGGAGCACTGCAGGCACACAGCCGGGGCTTTGCAGGGCAGACGAGGACCCATGGGGCAGGTCGGGGAGTTCTGGGCGCTCACAAAAGCCAATTCGCACTGAGGTCCATCGTGCTGCCTCTGCCCAACCGGGCCTTTTCCTAGAACCTCTCCTGGCCCCAGTGCAGAGGATGACACCGCCTCCCGCCCTGCCTGCAGACAGGCAGTCACAGCTCCTCCCCAGCCCAGACCCAGGTTGCCCCACCTCCTCCTTGCGTGCCACGTGGCAGATATGCACGGGGCGCTGGTACAGCTGGGCCACCATGAGAATCGCTGCCACCGTCTGCTTCTCCGCGTGCGCCACGATGGGCAGGTGCCTCGGCCACTGCTCGAAGTGCTGGGGGGAGAGAGCAGAGCTGGGGAGAACCAACAGTTGTACCAGGGGGAGAGGCAGAGCCTGGCACGAGGGGAGAGTCGGGGGGGGGCAGTCAGACAGCAACGCTGGGGGAGCGAGGTCGGGGGGGAAGAGAACAGCATTTGGGGGGGGACAAGACAGAAGGACAGTGGCTGCCCTGTTGGCTGGGGGAGGGTCAGGGGGGCACGACAGCTGGATAGCAGTGCTGGGGGAAGGTTGGGGGGCAGAGCACAGCACATGGGGGCGGGGAGACAGGACAGACGGACAGCGGTTGCAATACAGGCTGGGGGAGGAGGGCGTCCCCACTGCAGATGCAGAGAGCAGGCTGGGCCCTCAGCCCCCGGTGGGCGCTGTGCTGCTGGCGCCAGGAATGGGGCTGGACCCCCCAGCCCTTCCCGCAGGACCCACCTCCATCCACAGCGAGACATTGTCCATCTTGAGCTCGGAGAAGGTGTCATTCAGGTACATCTTGAGCCCGGCAGCTGCGCCAGCCACAGGACCCAGGGATCCGGCGTTGTCAGACGCGGCCCCCAGGAACAGGGCGAAGTCACAGCGCGAGCCCACCTCTGCCAGCTGCAGGGAGACAGGCTCAGACAGGCCCAGGATGGGGTGCCAAGCCGGGCCTGGGCCAGCGTGTGGATCGGCCCCAGGCCTGCAGCCCCCCCCACAGGGCCCCCCAGCACCTCCCAGGCCCACGCTGCACATACAACATTCCCCAGGGGGCTGAGGCTGGCCTGGCGCAACGCCTGGCGCTGCCAGCTCTGTGCCTGGGAGTGTCTGAGTGCCAGGGCGGGGAGGGTGCGTGGGCTGGGGTGTCAGGGGGGACTCTGCGCAGCACCCGGGGGGGGTCCCTGCACGGCA